TTCCTGTTCTCAAATCCCTACCAATGGCATCTGCATCATTTATTTTAAGGTAACCTTCTTGTGTGCTCATCATGCGCTCAACTAGCTAACTACTGGGCCATAAGAACACTTAAAAGTGTTCAACCCAGAGACTTACTTTATAAAACAGCCATGGAGTTTGTAATAAGAGTTTGCAGCTTACATATCTTGTCATATCCATTGACAATGTGAGGTGAGAAACAGCTGGTTTTCATTTAGACTTTACAAATATCCCTTTCTTCAAGGGTATAGATATCCTGATCACAAGCACCATAGATATGTGAGCATAACACAAACAAGTAAATTAGATAAAGATGCAAAACAGATAACTAAAAAATGTTTTTGCATAAAGCAGAGAGTGGGTGATTTATGCAGAGGAGCTAGTGGATACGAGAGAACAACAATTCATGAAGAAGGGTTTTGGGCGACATCATCTTTATTCCAGTTCATCCTCTGGTGCAATGGGGCTGGTCTGCTCAGAGGTAATGCCTAAAATATCAAACGCAAACAAGTTAGTTTTACAATTATAGAAATAATTTGACATGCTTTAAGAATTTCATACCAAGCAACACTGCAGCTGCCTCGTACTGCAACCACTCATGATGTTATAATAAAAAAACAGGAAGTCTCACTTGAAGCATCATCATCATTGAGAGATTTATTCTCTTCGTCAGCATAACCAAAACTTAAAAGTTTGGACATGTTCACTGGAGCTGTCGCCTTCTTATCATGGGAACTGTAGAGACAATTATCAAATGCTTATATAGACTGAAAACAGTCCAAGAGTTTAATAATTGTTTTTCTTGTGAATCTGGAAATAATGTAGAGGCTAAAAATGTAAAAAGAAACATACATCTTTTTGAACTTGCTGGCTTCTGCATTCTCGTTTTGGTTTAGGGAGAGTTTCTGCATCTCTGATGTGGCATGGCTGGCATCCTGTGTAAGGAAATTAGATGTTTATAATTTTAGGAATAAACTAAATTATTCACGGTTTAATATAATGGTATAAAGTGCTACTAATGAAACCTTCTTTACATGTGATTCATTCAAAATTCACAATCAATAATTCCATTCAGCAAAAAAAAAAAAAA